TTAAACACTTACGACAGGTTATTTTCCGCAGAGAGATGGCCCAAATAGAGTGGTTCCCCCAAGTTCCATAGTGGTTTACACTGTCAGTAATTTCACCTCGTCCTTGCTCCCATTCTTAGAATACCAGCTCCACTATTCTTATTTTTCCCCCACATTACTTTTAAATAAACGCGTAAAGTCTTGGGGAACGATTGCTGGCATAACGCATTTGGCTTGTCAAATTTATGAGGATCGATCGCATTCCCCCCCGTGTCGCTCGCTGAACAATCGGCGATGGCCAGCTCGGAGAGAGGACTGGTTAATAAAACGCGGGTAATATCCCCCGGTATTACGCTAGCACCGGTGGCTTGCTGTCGTGTGCGGATAAGCCTTCAAGCTACACTGTAATCTCGCAGCAGCAAAGCCTGATTAGTCGCCTTTACGACTCTGCTACGGTACGTGTCTCGTAATTTACACCCCTGGATTTCATACACCCCCAGTGGTAGCGCATGGAACCCATCTCTTTGGCAATTAGGCTCGTCCGTGTCCGACGCCATCACGCGCTCACTCCCTCTCCTTTAGCTGACCTGTCGCTTGTTGCGCAGTCGGCGTTGGCCGCTCGATAAATTTGTAACCAGCGGAGACGCAGCGGCGTAGAGATCAACATAACGATGACGACAACAATGACGAGTAGTAATCGTAGTGAAAAGATGGTGAATATAGCTGGAAATTTGGGATTTCGACAGGGGGGAGGAGACTGTCGGTGCTGGCTGCTGGGACGAGGTCGTGCGACCGCAGTCTCTTGTTGAAAACGCTCTGGACGATGTCCAGCGTCGGGTCCGCGTACGCTCGAGCGCAATGGCGTTGGTCTTTGCCCGCCGCTGCTTCCTGTGACTTCTCGGCAGGAGCGACCAAGCCTAAAGGCAAACTCCGTGCGGGCGCTCCAAAACTCAAAAAAAAAACACCATTGGCAATAGTACCCAAAACTACACCAGAAGCTCGTCGCCACAGGAAAAGAAGGCGCGCCCCATACCCTGTTCCCATTGGCAATGGACAGATTGAGCGTAGGCCTAGCTGGCACATGAAGCTGTGGAGCGCACTGTATCAATTATGAGACCATACGAAGTGGAGGTGTGCAATGATATGTCGGTGCAATAGATGGGGAGGAGTCGCTGCCCCAGGAGAGGGCGTTGGACATGTTACGTTGCTCGGTGTACTAAGCAATGGGTGCATACATCGGTGCAGCTGGTCATTCTCCGTTTTGCTAGCCCTCCTCTGGAAGCGAGCCGAACAGACAACGGGGGATAGGGGGATGTTGACCAGGGATGATAGGTTTAGCATTTGCGAATGACACGGCAAATGCGAGTAACAGTAAGCACTCGGCATCTCCCGTCAATCTGAGTGTGTTTGATGGTAGCGCTCGTTGGATGGATTGCCTAATCCTGGCTAGGTCGTCGGCGGCACCCAGCGCGTCGTCAATGCGGTCGGCAATCTGCGTATACGACTCGCCCTGTTTTATGCACGTATATACAGAATATTTAGACCCGGCGGTCGGAGTAGTGGACGATGGATAGCACTCCGGTAGCAATAGATCGATGATATGCATTATGAGTAATGGTTCGATAAGGACGTCGGCGCAGAGGCAGGAGAGCGCGAGGAGAGGTGTTTCCGATCTGGGCGGCGCACACTTGCCATTCGTCATGAATATCGTCAGGAGGAGCACATTGGCGTAGAGCAGGCTCGGCCACTCGAGAACAGTCCTGGCCAGTACTCTCTACGAGTGCGGCGGCGGGATAGGAGAGGACTCGTAGATG